ACCTGGACCCTTATAGACCCTAAAAAGTCTTCTTGGTCCTTTCGGTTTCAAGGCTTGGGGCTATGGGGCCTGGGCCTTCGACCTTGCAGCTTCACTTACACGGAGCGCCCGACACTCCCGGGTTCGGGATTTAGGGTTCCGGGCTTAAGGTTGAGGGTACCCTAAGGCCCCAAAGTAGTTCTTTTTGGGGGTTCATATATAGAATCCTATAAGGTAATCCCAAAAAAAGGAACTACTTTGGGGCCCTAGGGTTTCGGTTTTCAGGTTTTCTGTCCTGAAGTTTAGTTCCTGCAAAAGGCTGCTTCTGTCTTCGGGGTCCACACTTCCATGTGCATCACGTCAGGGAGATCTCAGCACTTTCGCTTGTTTGGGAGTAGGGGCGTCGTCCATAGTAGCCCTGTAAAGGACCCCGTATAGGAACCCTATTCTAACTATGAAGGCCCCTACGTTGTAGTACCCTTATAGATCCCATAGTAGTTCCTTTTTGTGGTTCATATTTAGAATCCTGTTTGAGGTAACCCCAAAAGGGAACTACTATGGAGCCTGTGGGTGGGCCTTCACCTCAAGCCTTCAAGCCCTGAAAGTTGGAAAAGCAGCGAAAAGACCTGAGTCGTTTGAGAATGCATGTGAGTCATATACAATACGATAGCAATCTGGGGGTGGTGATCAATGAGGATGCTACTCAAAAAATGCTCAGCACCTTATGCCTTATGTCAAATAACCTGTGGTCCCTCTTGATGAAACCTTTCCTTCTAGAGCCTTTCTAGCACCCTGAAATGCCTATAACCCGGAACACTACATGTTAGGGTTTGAAACTCAATTTTCCTATAACCCTAAACGCTGCAGTCCGACGGGTTAGTGTTTAGGTCTCACACAAAAATGGGAATTGGGGCTCAGGGCTTCTATAACCCAAAACCCTGCACCCTAGGGTTTGACAGGGCTTTCTATAACCCTACACCGTGAACCCTAGGGTTAGCGGCTCGGGGTTTCTATAGCTAAACCTCATAAATCAGCCGCGCATCATGTCTTGCAAGACACCCGCGTCGTTGCGGGAGAGGAACCAACGGCCGCTTTCCCCCAAGCTTTTCATCTCCTGTCTCTTTGTTCAGGATTTGTTTACTTGTTTTAAGGTTTGGGCTTGGTGTTTATTAAAGCTTTAGCACAACTTATAGAGTTAAAGGTGAAGAAATAGGGACTTAGGGGTTTAGGGGTTTGGCTTCATACTGCTGATGGACAAAATCCTGCATTACCCATTATAAGGAATATACCATAGTTCCCATAGTTTAGAGTCCTTAAGGTCATGCAGGATTTTGTCCATCAGCAGTATCACACCTGATATGGGTGTATGCGGTCTCGGGCTTATAGGTCTCATCGCCTAGGTTGTCCGGATCTTTAATGGCTGATCGGGCTCATGCGCGTGATAGAGCTTCCAGGGTATACAGGGGTTATATAAGGTCCCAAAGAACCCAATACCCCTTAATCAAGGAATATACCTTAAATGATAGAGGCCTTCATATTATAATTTAAGGTATATTCCTTAATTAAGGGGTATTGGGATCTCTGGGGTGTTATGGGATATGGGCTATAGAATTGAAAATTTTCAACTTCATATCTCCTAGCGAAGTCGGGTTCGCAGAATGTGCAACGATTTCTACAAGGGCTACCATAAGGGTTCCACAAAAGACAGGGGGATTCTAGGATATACGGGGCATATTCGGTGTATGTGGATTTTGTAGGGCATACTCAATACAGGCATGGTTACATATTTGGGGTGATAAGGGTTGGGCGTTGTAGGGGTTATCGGGTTTGTACGAAATGAAGCAGGATAGCTTCTGGATCAAAGTTCGCTGGCAGTGGGGCATCAAGCCTAATTGTCGGCCTTCAAGTTCTCGATGAGTGTTGGGCTGGCTACTTCTGGCTTCCAGACTACTATAAGTATAAAAATTTACAGGATAAGCACGTCGCATGCAAAGCTTCTAGAGTGTTGCCCTACCAGGATTGAACAAGTTGCGCATGCTTTCCTCTGATTTCTGAGGCTCGTCGATCAAAGCATCTACCATTTGCCCAATTGCCCTGGCGTAGGGCGATATTTCTGCGACAATATCTTCATTCGAAAGTCCAGCCCGGAATGATCATCGTGACAGTTTCAGGCTATACCGTATACCCTAAGGCCCCAAAGTGGTTCCTTTTTGGCATTATATACCTTATAGGATTCTATACACGAACCCGAAAAAGGAACTACTTTGGGGCCTTAGGGTACACTCCGTTTCGCAGCCCTTAACAGTCGATGCTGCAAGCACTCCAAAGGGGCTACCCTAAGGCCCCAAAGTAGTTCCTTTTGGGGGTTTATATATAGAATCCTATAAGGTAATGCCAAAAAGGAACTACTTTGGGGCCTTAGGGTAGTTGCAATTTGCAGCAGGCCCGCAGGCAATGAATACTCTCGTCGAACCATCCCCAGGCTTAAAGGCTGCATCATTCAGGATTCAACCTCCAAGTTGCACCCTAAACCCTGAAGCCCTACACACGACCCTAAACCCTACCTAAACCCTAAACCCTCCCTTGGAAACCCTAAACCCCTAATCCTGCAAAGCCTAAACCTTAAACTGGGTGAACTCTCAGAGACAGCTCCTTCTCCATCTCTGGCACGAGGAACCTCAAATGGTAGGCTAGCTGAAAGCGGTGTCGGGTTTAGGGTTTAAGGTTTAGGGTTTAAGGTTTTTGTTTTTTTTGCTTTTTGAAAGCCTTTTTTGGGTGCCTGCGCTCCGAAGCCCAAGAACTGGGCGGCTAGGTTCCACACACTGTAGGTTTAATTAAAGATTTGGGAATTTCCGAAAATAAGGGGTTACTTTATTTTGGGGTCCTTATAATAAGGATCTTATTATTTATGGTAATTACTATATTAGGGTCCCCTATTCTCGGAAACCCCCATTTAGGGTTTCCACGCGATCTTTGGGTTTTCTGCTGGCTCTCCAGACCCTCAGGCTTTCACGGCATAAACCCGCACAGCAAGGTCGGCTGACACCGAAATGCCACCCTTCCCAAAACGAACAGCTACTTCAGCTTTTGAAGATCCCGATAGAGTAAACTGTGATAACCAAAAAGACCGTTAACCCTGAGTTCTAAACCCTATACCCTGACCGTTACCCCCTGAAACCTTCACCCTGAACCCTTAAGACTGAACCCTAAGCCCTGAACCCTACGTACTCCTAAACCTAAACCTTAAACACCTAAACCCTTAACCTTTTTTAATTTTTGCTACTGGACTCAACGCAAGCCAGTTTACCAGCTGCAATCATCTTGACCGAGGCCGACACCAAAAAACCGTACATGCAATGATTTAGGCCCCTAACATAGAACCCTATTATAGATCCCTTTTTGACCGCTTTAAGGATCCCTTTAATTTAAAGGGATCCCTATACATAACCATTTAGGGCTCCCTATAGTAACCAAGGTGCCCCCAGGGGTTCAGATTCGAATGCGCCTTCAACTCTGGGCCCGAGTAGACCCAAGATTCAGCGCCAAACTTCTCCTGAAAACGTGTAGGGTTTAGGGTTTTTGTGGTTTTGAGGGTTCTTTTAGGACCTGACCTTAAATTGCTTTTGCCTTGACTTCAAAAAACGTTGCTGTTTGTGGTTTATGAGGTTTTTTTGTTGGTGTTCAGGGCGCTTTTAGGACGTTGCCTTGTTGTTTAAAGGGCTCTTAAACTCTAAACCCTAAACCCTAAACCCCTAAACCCTAAACCCTAAACCCCTAAACCCTAAACCCTAAAAGCGCTGAGAGCCTCAAGAGCTTCGGATTTCCCATGACCCTTCCAAGGTCTCCCCACCGGGCGAAAAGTGGCTTTCTGGGGGTCTAGGGGTTCGGGTTTAGGGTCTAGGGGTTTGGGGTTTAGGGGTTTAAGGGTTTTGGGGTGTAGGGCTTAGGGTCTAGGGGTTCGGGGTTGAGGGGTTTCAGGGTTTAGGGGTGTAGGGCTCAGGGTCTAGGGGTTTGGGGTTTAGGGTTTACCTGGACCCGAAAAGTATGTAGGATAGCAGCCCTGTATCTGTTTTGGGCTATTTTTTCACATACTTTGGGGGGGTTTAGGTGGGGGTTTGCGGTTTAGGGCTTAGGCAAAAACCGGCTGTGCTGGCTTAGTGTTGTTGAAACAGTTAAGGAGTCCGGACGCACATCGGCAGCGAAAAACGTAAAAAACGAAAAATCAAAAAGTCCATTTTTCGACCGGAGGAAGCGAGCAAAAGGGTAAAAGGTAAAAATGTAAAAACCAGATAGCCCAACTTCAGGGGCAAAAAATGTAAAACTGTTAAAATGTAAAAAGTTCCAGGATCGGATGTATTTCCGCCGCGGAACGGACGAAGGTAAAAACGAAAATCGTAAAATTGTAAAAACAATTTTCCGCGCGAAAAAAGTAAAACAGTAAAAACAGCGAAAAAAACGTAAAATCGTAAAAACGCGCCACGGAGCGAAAAGCGTAAAACTGTAAAAACAGCGAAAAACCGTAAAATCGTAAAAACGCGCCACGCAGCGAAAAGAGTAAAACTGTAAAAACAGCGAAAAACCGTAGAATCGAAAAAACACGCCACGCAGCGAAAAGGATACAACTGTAAAAGCAGCGAAAAAAGTAAAAGTGGAAAAATGGTGACTAAGCGAAAAATCAAACTAAAGGTGAAAAACCAGGAACCAAGAACGGCGTCAAAAGAAACGCCACCCAGCTAGCGGAGGTATCTTGCTTTGCTTGGAGGTTCAGGGCCTGGAGGGTCTTATGTTTACGCTCTCGCAACTCGGAACAAGCCAGACGGGTTTGGCGTGAGGTGAAGGAGCATAAGCTTCTCGAGGACTGCGGTACTGAAAAGGTTTCAATAAGCAGCGTGTTTTGATTGAGTTATACTTGGGACACCTAAAACTTGCTAATTGTTCGTGTTCTGGCCCTTGGTGGCAAGCTTACGGGCTCAGGCTCCTAGCACAGGCCCCAATCATTTAGGTCCTGGGTCCTTGGACTCATGGCAATTGCTTGGGGCAGCAAGGACTTTGCCAAGGAGCTTTCGGATGTCCAGAAGCTTTTGAACTTCTCTCCGAATCCACAGCTCCAGGCGAGTCTTTTGAATGTCTTGCAAAAGAAGGTCGTGACTGCCGACAGTTTGCCGGCACGGGAGTATGTGAACATGCTCCAGTCTGTGGAACAGTCTGGATTGGACGAAAATACAAAAAAGGCATTGAGTGATGCTCTTTTGAAGAATGCTTCAGGTGGCAGCACGGAAGGTGGCTGCAAGCTCGTCAAAGTTCCGCAGACACTGAAGAACCCAGTGGCTTATTTGACGAAAGAGGAAATCGTGCAAATTATGCAAGGTGACATCAAGGACGCCCCGATCCTCATTGCCAGACGGCTTCGGGTGATTGGCTTGACGAGCCGCAAAGAATGTACGAAGAAATCCTGTGTCACTTTGCATGTGCAAGCCCATCTTTGGCAGAATCTCCAACAACCAGATGCAGACAAAATCTACAAATTAGCGACTGACTTCCAGGACGTTTTTCACAGCCTGAACGTACAGAGTGATGTGCCTGCCTTCCGGACATATCCAGACGATCCTCGAGAGTTGGGACCAGATTGGATTGCCAAAGCCTGCATAGGTTCTCACCCCAGCTGTGCAGAGCTGCCACAGCTGCATGTCTTGTCCAAGTCGTGCCCAATCCGCACCACCAGCCGGCTGCTCAAAGGCACTTCTCAGGGTTCCAATCAGCTTGCTTGCAACATGTCCATGCATGCCATGCAGCAAAAGACTTGGCTGGAGACCATGAAAGAAAAGCTTGCCGAGGAGGAAGCCAGACAAGCTGCACTCAAGCAGTCATGCCCCTCGAGTTGCATGCCCTCCAAGGACGAGGTCCAGTTGCTGCCGACACCTGCAAATACCTCTACTGCACGTACCGGCTCAGAGCCCCGCCGATGCTCCGGAAAACAAGTGTCCGCAAAAGCAGTCGGTGCCAGGGGCAAACGAAGGCAAAAGCTTGGAACAGTACGAAGCAGAGGCATTGGCACAAGTGGAGAATAAGAAAGCACCGAAGCAGGAGAAGAAGAATGGGAAGCCCTGCAATCAGAAGATGCCACAGCTCTTCAAAAAGCCTGCAGCGAAGTGTGTTGAGAAACACCCGATGAACAAAGAGAAGAAGGCTGCCAAGCAGGACGGAAGGCTCACCTGCTGGGGCTGTGCAAGATGCCGTGGCAATGTGTATGGCTGCGACAATTGCAATTTCGATGGGTTCGCCGGTGTGCGACTCAACGGTCGGGCCGAATGGAAGAAGCACATGGAGGAACGGAAGAAGGCGGCCAAGCACTGATCCAGGTCCCAGGGTTTGGGTACACACAGGTGCATAGAGTGCTCTATGCCCGAGGGCTTTCGATGCGACCTTGCATGGTTGCATCCGACCTACCTGAAAAAGGTAGCACAAGGGGATTCCATGCACTATACATGTCCAGCCTTCGGCAAAAAGGGCTGCTGCTGCTTGTTCCTAGCGCTTAGGGCTGGCTTCTCACTTGCTTGCATGCTTGCATGGCAAAACTGCATGAGGTTGTTGTCACATGCCCAGCTGTCCAAGTCTTTGAGTTTAGGGTAGGGATCATCACAAGCCATGCTTTATGGCTAAGTCCTCCAGCTCAGCTTCCAAGAAGCAGAAGCTGGACCATCTCGATGCTTTCCGTAGAGGCATTCCCTTCGTGTCGTGCTCGGCATTGGCAGCGATTTTGAACAAGGTGGAACAGGAAGGAGTGCCAGAGCTGCATGGAAGGAAGAACATCAAGCAAGCGGTTCTGGAGAAGATTGCCGCCATGGCTGGGGATTGTGGGTCTTTACTCAAGCAGCTCACAGCTGTGCGAATTGATGGTGGGGATTTGCACTTTCATATCCTCAACCTACCAACAATGCTCCAGGGGTTATACAGGCAGGAAGGGTATTGGCACCGTTATTTCAATCACATGCACATGCAAGACCCCTCAAGCTTGGACTGCCCATGGAAGGGAGTTCTTTATGCTGATGAAGCTCATCCCGGCAACCAACTTTCCAGCACTGGCCGCAAAATTTGGTGCATATATTTTTCTTGGTTGAACTTACAACAGCAAGGCTTATCCGAGGAGCGACACTGGTTTACATTGGCGGCCTTGAGAACTGAGCTACTACAAAAAGTTGAAGCTGGTATCGGCCAGATCCTGAGACTCAGGATCAAAAGATATTTTCGCACAGCAGCTCTGGAACCCGGTGCATGGCATTGTCATGAAATCAACCGATGCATTGTTTGTTTTCCATTGGACCCTCCACGTCTTTTTACAAGACGGCAGTGCCCAGAAGCAAACTTGCAAACCGCCAGGGCATCGGTTCTCGTGTTTGCATGCTCTGCAAGAAGATTTTCAATGTTAGACGTGAAGGTGATGATGACGACGAGGGGAAGATCAGCTCCAGACACCTGACCCTGTCCTCCTGCGACCTTGCCTCGGACAGCGAATTGCTGCAGAGTTGGGATCGGCTGGCAGCAAAGGCGGGAACTGAAAGCAAGGCTCGCTTTGCAATGCTTCAACAAGCAAGCGGATGGACATTTTCGCCACATGCTTTGTGCATGTCTTCCAAGTTACGAGCTTTGGGATTGATCAAGCCGGCTTCGCAATATTGTTACGACTGGATGCATTGTCTAAACAGTAACGGAGTTCTCAGTTTCGTTATATGTCGGGCATTCGAGTCATGGCGAAACCATGGCAAAGCCGATGTGTGGGAATCCTTCGCAGGCTACTTGGAGTTGTGGCAGTTGCCCGGTGCCAACAAACAAGCCTCCTTGAGCAGTTTGTTTTCGGCAGACAAAATCAAGAGCCACAGAAAAACAGGTCATCTCAAGTGTACTGCATCCGAAGTTCTGGGTTTGTTGAAACCATTGCAGCACTACTTCACAACATGCTGCCTGCAAGAAGAAGTGCAGCCTGCGAAAGCATCGCTTCTAGCATGGTTGCATGTGCTCGAACTCTTGAAAGATCAAAATCAAGCACCACTTCGGTCCAGACAATTGCTCCTTGCTTGCGAGGAAGCCTTGGAAAAAGCGGTGCAGGCAGGATGGGGTCCAGTGATGCGGCCGAAGTTTCATTGGACCCTCCACTTGGATGGTTGCTACGAGAAACAAGGATTTGTGCCTGCATGCTGGGTCTTGGAAGCCGCCCGTAAATATGGGTCGGCTTCTAGCAATACGATTCGTTTCGACACATCTCTTCTGGAAGAGGTGACTGCAGAGCATTTGTCGGTCATGGGCAAAGAAGAGGGTTTCCATTTGCGGGCACATTTGCTGCAGCCGCATGCTTGCACTGCAAAGCTGAAGAAAAGCTTGGTGCAGTACAATGTCCTGCGGCAGGAGGGTGAGTGCATGACAAGCACCATGACAAGGCTGAAGCATGGTGCTATCATCAAGAAAGGCGACATGGTGCTGCATGGCAGTGAGCCAGGGCACG